AGACTTATGCATCCGTTGCCAAATTCACCACCATAAGGACCATTGTAGCAATTGGGGCAGCAATGGATTTGGAAATACACCAAATGGATGTGAAGACGGCCTTTTCGAATGGAGAATTATAAGAAGACATCTATATGGACCAACTTCAAGGATTTGTACAACAAGGCAAAGAACATCTTGTTTGCAAATTGAAGAAATCCTTGTATGGGTTGAAACAATCACCAAGGGCATGGTACCAACGAATTGACACCTTCTTTGTCAATGAAAGATTTGTAAAGAGTAAAGCTGATCATTTATTGTATGTGATGTAATCTAGAGAGTTCTTGCTGATTGTAATCCTCTATATTGATGATTTGATCATTTTGGCTAATAATATGGAAAAGATGGATTAGATGAAGGCCAAATTAGAGAAGAAATATGAGATGAGTGATTTGGGAGAATTGCACTATTGCTTAGGAGTGGAATTTATAAGAGATCATGGTAACAAGACTATTACAATGAGCCAAATAAAGTACATTGAAGAAATATTGAAACGATTCAACATGGAGGAGTGCAAGCCCATTGGAACACCCTTGGAGGCAAATTTGAAATTGATGAAGCTCATGGATGAGGAATTTATACAAGTTAAAGGTGAGATGCAAAGTATTCCATACAAAGCAGCAATAGGCTCACTCATGTATACAATGGTAGCTACAAGAGTGGATCTTACATATGTAGTGAGTGTTGTAAGCCAACACATGTCTAAGGCTGGACCAATGCATTGAAAAATAGTAAAGAGGATTTTGAGGTACTTAAAATGTACAAAAGACTTCAAATTATGCCTTGGTGGTAAGAACATTGACTTGCAAGGTTATTGTGATGCGAATTGGACTAGAGATATAAATGATAGAAGATCTATAATAGGATATGTATTCTTCATTGGAATGGGAGCCATTTCATGGAATTGCAAGAGACAACCTACTATTGCAAGATCAACAATGGAGGCAGAGTACATGGCAGCAAGTCATTGTGCAATAGAGGCCTGTTGGATAAGGCAACTCTTAGAAGACATTGGTCTAGTGCAACTAGAAGCAACTCCCATTATGTGTGACAATCAAGGATGTCTTGTATTTGCAAAGAATCCAAAGCCTCATTCAAGGACCAAGCACATTGATGTTCAACATCATTTCATACAAGAGAAGATTGAAGATGGAATAATAGGTATGAAGTATTGTGCTACAAATGACATGCTTCTTGATGTGCTTACAAAGGCATTAGTAAAGGGTAGACATCATGACTTGATTCAAAGATTAGGATTAAAAGTCTTTTGAATATTAGCAAAGTGGGAGTGTTGAAGAACATCAAGTACTTGCTTAGTTACAATCACATAAAGTTTAAGCATAGTATGTTGCTAATAGTAAAAAGGTAGCAAAGAGGTAAAGTAAGTTATTATGATGGTACCGAGGCTTTACTAAGAAGAGGTAAAAATAGATGTAATATCAAATGGATGGAAGTTGCCTCATTGGTAAGCAAACCACCACCTATAAGTAAAGAGTATTAGAAGTAAGAATTATCTTCCTCCACACTTCTATTAGAGTACAATCCTTGCTGATGCTAAGTGTTTGTAGCCTTTAGACTTCTTTTTCTTCAATAGTTTATCCTCTTCCCTTTCTCTTCTTGTATATGAGATACAACCAGATCAATAGATTTTATGTGTGAAGTTCTCTCTTCTTAGAAACCCTCTTGTATGTATGACTTACTATTACTCTTATGTATGTGTATTACTTACTATTATTCTTGTGTCTTTCTAAACATTCTCAATACAAACAAAATCAGTAAAACATACAACATAATAAGATTTATTAAACCTAGGTTTGAAAATTGAAAATATGGATTTGGAAAAAAGTAATATTTTGTAAATGAATTACAATGATTTTATACAAAATTGATTTTAACTAGTTTCAATATGTCATTTTTAAGAAGAAAATATCATATATAAATATTTAATATAAATTTGGTAATATCAAAAGAATTATTAATCATAAAATATATTTTTTAAAATTAATATGTAAATTTCAATTTTTTAATAATTACAAGTGTGATTTTGTCACAAATATAATTAAGAAGTAAAAAAAAATCTTGTAAGATTTTTTTTTTATTCTTTATTTTTGCTTGATTATGTGTTGTTTTTCTTTTTATTTCTCTGGAGGTGAACTTTCTAACAAATCACATAAATACCTAAAAATTCATTATATAGCTCATGTACAAATAAATCCTATTAAAAAAATCTTATAAAGTTCATGAAAGAATGGAATTTGATTTTGTAGTAGAAATTTCATTCATAAAAAGAATCAAAAGGAGTGAATTAATAATAGCAAACTAATGTTGAATGTAGTAGAAGATCAATGGAACTATACACACATCTAAAAATCAAGATCACAAAGCGAGTATTTTGATGAAACTCACTTCCCAAGCTCCAAAAATTGCACTCTTTGTTGAATGGATCTGTAATTTGCCATTATGTTTAAATTTTGGATCGTATTGAAGAGTTTGAATTTGAATGTTATATTATTATTATTATTATTATTTTTTTTTAAAATATATTTTTATATTCTATATTCTATGGAAGTGATCTTCCACTTAGCTTCTTTTATAGTTGTGACAATAATTTAAATAACTTTACCAATCTTTATTATTATTATAAATAATTGTATAGATATGACTTTGGTGATTGAATTTAGGATTTTATCCTTTTATTAAATTTTTTATGCCTAATCATCTATTTGACTTATTGTCTAATCTATTACAATAAAAAACCAATTGATTGTTGTTTCAATGTATATATTTTATTTTCTTACATTACAATTCCATAGTTTCCAACCCTCAAATATAGAAGTCTTTTACACCCTTTATGTTGAGTAGGTGAAAGAATTCAAGACAAATGGCCTTATTCTCAAGGATTCTTAATTCAGCTTGGTTATTCTATTAAATCTTGATATTACATTTTGAATATGTGTAAGAAGATTTGACATTCTACAGTGTCATATTTTCCTCAATGCCACAACTCGTTGGCGGTAGTATCTTTCTTTTTCTCTCTCTTATATCCAATTCATCAATCTTTATTTTCATCAAAAGATTGCAAGAATATCACCTTCTTTAAGACCAAAAGACAGTCTACCTATATAAATATATACAAAATCCCTCAATGTATGTCTTTTTTGTTGCATCAATGTAAAACACCTTGTTATCAATAGTAAAACACCATGTAGACTTTAGACAATGTTAAGTTTTTTGATAAAAATAAAGATCAATGAATTGTAAAACAACATGTAAATTCTAGAGAAGGTGAATTTTTTTGATGGAAACAAAGATCCATCCATGCAGTGAATGAAAGCTACTAATTATCTCTTTGAGTAATCTTAGTAAATAGATTACCGTGATTTTCACTTGTTGATGTGAATTAGAAAGCTTGTCTATTGAAGCATATTAATTTCTTATATAAGTAAAAAAAATATTACTTTCAATTACAACATATAATTATTTTTATGAAGTTTTATTTTATCTATAATAAATTTATTTATTTTTAAAACTAAAAAAAGGTATCTATAGATGGCAACTTTAGATAGATTCCATGACTTCAAACTCATCTTTCTTCTCTCTATTCTTTATTGATTTCTATATATATATATATATATATATATAATTATATTTATTTTATAAATTATATTATTATAATTATTAAAATTTAAAATAGTAATTATAGTTAATTAAAAATAAATAAATAATATTATTATTTATTTATTTATTTATTTCTCTTAATGATTTGTATTAAAATTTGATGTAAGAATGAATTAAATATGTTATTACTTAGTTATCTATTTATTAATTTATTTAATATAGATATAATTTAGATTTAATATTATTTAGAAATAATATCATACTACTCAATAATAATATATTTGTATTTGAATTAGATTCAAGTGGTGATTTGAGCTTTGCTAATGTTTTTTTGGTCATCTTTTGCATTTAATAATAATATCTTGTTAATACACTAAACCAAAATTCTAGCAAATGCAAAATGGTTTGTCTTGAAGAAGACAAGTTCTTTTTATCTTTTTATACTCAACAAATTTTGTAAATTAGAATAAATAAAGGCAATTATTAAAAAGGTTTTTTTAGATATACATTGGATACAGCCATTGCCAACAACATAATTGTAATCTATTATACGAAAGACCATGCAACTCTATTAGCATGCCAATATTACAACAAGATCTTATATTTATAAATAATTATTTTAATTTTAAAAATTCTTAAATTTAAATTCTTGAGCTAAAAAGCCATAATTTATAAATTGCATATACAAATCTTCTTGCCAAGTATTTTCTATATATGAAGTATCATTAATTTTTTTTAATAAAAACATCTTTAAGTTATTTCAAATTTTCTTTGGAAAGAGATTCTCCAATGAAATGGACGTCTAATTTCTTCAAACTTTACAAGTACCCAAAACTTCGAAGGCTTTTGCAGCTTTGATAATCTAGACTTCATATAGTGGTGGCCATTAAAGAACTTCACAACATTTTAAACATTATAAGCAAAGTATTAAAGATACTTGAAAGATATTCAAGAATAAAGCTTGGTTTTCTATTTTTCTACTTAATATGCAATATTTTCTATGCCTTCTTGTTTTCAAATGTATTTTTTGTCATTACTTCAAGAAATTTGATACTAATAGTCTTAATAATAAATTCATTATTCCTTGCAATCTATTTAAAAGTATGACTTTGTTGTCACTTTAAAACAAAATCCAAGAAGATGCTTATTTAAAGATGAATTGTTGCAATGTAGTTAATAATGGATTCATTGCAAATAATGGACTAAACGTAAAAAAAAACAAGACAAACCATAGAAGATGTTGATTTCAAACACTTGCCTTTGACTTCCTTGTAACATTATTCAAGAAGCACAACATTGATCTTTTTATATTTGAAAATAAGGTTGTTGTGAAACTTTAGTACTATTATTGCAAATTTGAAATTCTCTTTCTTGACTCTTTAGATTGCAATTACTATTACAAAATAATGAATTGCCAAATGCATTGCCAAATATTCTCCTAATAGCTATGATCACCTTTGATAGCATGAACTTGCTAATTGGTGGAGCTCTAGAAGAACTAGAAGCAAAAGCCTTCTTCTTGTTGTTGCTATAGCTAAAATGCCATTCAAGTTCTTCTTAGGAACCAAATTTCTTGAGGCACTCTATTTTAATATTAAAAGATTTGGTTTCTTTTAAGAAAAGATGAATCATTGCCTACTCACTCTTCTTGTAAATTGGCAATGGTGTCCTTACAATGTTTGCAAACAACAAATTTCAACATATATGGATCAGTAGTGTCAGTAAAATCAAACCAATACGGATACGGATCAGTGCAGCGAACGAAGCAAATGCAGTTCGCCGAATCTGGACGTCGAATGCAGGAGAAGGTGAATGCCTCGTAGAAAAGCTGACTATCTTACAAGGATTGGGTATGGTACATTAGAGCTCGACGACGCAGGAGACCTGTGCGATGCCCAGGAAGTTCTCGTCAGCAGGCAGCATCTCCCAACGTCCGTTGCACATGTTGTCATTCCCGGAGTCCATGCTGGAAGGCAGCTTGTAAACTAAGGTTCTGTGAGTGTCGCCGTCGGTGTTGGAAGGTCCAGTGACGATGATGCTGTTGCCGATCGCCGTCACGCAGGTGGCGTAGGAGATCCCGCTAGAGTCCTTTGGGATAATGTCCATCAGGTGCCAGAGATTTTCAGCTGGGGAGTAGGCGATGAGTTGGTTGTGGTGGAAGGCGAAGAGCGTACCCGCTGTGGCGACGATACTGCTTGGTTTAACAGCCTTGGAATCTGCAGGGCACATGTTGTCGAGTTGTTTCCATTCGTTGAGCACTGGATCGTAAACCTCGGCGTCGCGGCGAAACTCCCCTTGGGCAGAGGTGATATAGCCGCTAATGACGTAGAAATTGCCGTCGAGGACGGCACTCGCGCACTCATCTCGTTCTGTGTGCATGTTAGGTAATATTTCCCAGATATCCTCTTGGAACTTGTAACGAGCCGCGGTACGGAGGGCGTTCTTGTCAGTGTCATGGCCTCCTGCGACGAGGATGGTGTCCTGGACAACTCCGCAAGAGAAGAAGGATCGGGTGGTAGGCATGTCCGCGCTCCGACGCCATGTCCACGAGGAGAAGCTAAAAATGTAAACGGATCGTAGCTCTTCCATAGTTATGGAGTCCCATCCCCCGAGAACCACCAGGCATCCCTCGACGGCGGCAAATCGGCTGAAGAGTGGTAAGCTTTGGTGGTCGAAGTCAGGAATTGGTGGCAATCTCTCCCAAGAGTTTCTATCGTTCGAGACGCTCACGCTGAACATGGGACGCTGTTGAGATTCTGAGTTGTCACGCGTTATGGCTTGCGACAAGCAGACGCATTGTCGTGTAGTTCCCTCCTTCTTCCGGTGCTCGTAAAATTTTCTGCTGTTTACCAGATCTCGCCATTTTCGACAAACGTTCTGCAGCCGAGAGTGGGATTGGACTGGAACTCGGAGCAGGCACTGCAGAGCCATGTCATCAGGTAGAAATGGAACGAGTCCTTCATCTAATCTGTGTTCTATATCCAAGTTCAAGCCAGTGGTAGTATAGCGCCCTGCGCCTTGCGCCATACTTGGTTCTAATTAATAATCAGGAGGAGGAGGGTTGCACACACATACTACGTAAATCTCAAGATAGAAATGGAATTAGGGTTAGATTAAATTTCGCAGTCCTACATCGACAGCTAAGAGTAAACTTCTACATGTGACATCACTTGGGGTATCTTCTGAACGCATGCCAAAACTTGTGCGGCCTCCAACGCATAGCTGGAGACAAGGTATAGAGATGGTGCCCCAAGTTCTGATTCGCAATTTGACATTATGTGCTGATCGGTTCAGGAGGACAATAAATTTGGTAACACAAAACCCAAGAAAACAAGGGGACGTTTTGAAGAGAAGCTCGGCCACGACTTCACGAATCTATTGCAGGGATTGAAAAATTCCGAGTTATTCGCAGTGGCTCCGTCTCCCCACTTCGATTTTTGCAGTGGAAGCTGTTTAAGCGAAAGATGACTTATGGAGCTTATCAGTACGAGCTCCTGACAAGGATACGAGGAGCTTCTCGAAGGATTATCTACCCCCCTGCAGATGCCTATGATCCCAGCAGTAGGCGCCCCACCGACTACTCAGCGAACATCCTTTCCAATCTGCAATCCTGTCAAAGCAATTGTGTAACCCCGAACTCGTTCACAGGTGTGTTCTTCCTCTTCCCCACACCCGACTCAATTCCAACACTAAGCAGGAGAGTGAGCAAGGAGTCAGCACCGTTACTCGATTGAAATGCTTCCATGCTGGCACGCCGTAGCCCTCGACATCACACTCTCATCAACCAAGATTCAAGAACTAAGTGTAACTATTCGAACTCTACTCTCGAAAAGATGAGATAAATGCCAGTTCCATTGAAAGTTGAGAGACATACAATTTACAGATGATCCAGTGAAGATGAGGACCACGACTATCAACTCATGTAATGTGAAAATTGTGGGGCACAGATAGCCTCCCTCAACAATTGATCTGGGGACTTGGTGTACTTTGTGAACCATGGCCCAACTACAAACGTTGCACAGATCACGAAGGCACGTACTCGAGAGCTTGGTGAAACAGGACAGCTCTATTTTGAATAAAATCTATCGCTGAGCAGAGGCACGAATGGGGTGTGCATGGTTTACTCTGGGTATGGGCGGGGCCCAATGATGTATGCGAAGCTGAACTTATGAAGGAATCTAATCCGTCACAGCTGCCCATTTCACTTTGCGTGCTGCCGGTGAATTCTCATTCGACCAGCATATTCTAATGGAGGTCACAGCTGCATCTGCTCAGATCTTCTCGTAGTTGTTTGGATATACAAGGAATTTGCCCACTTGACCCTACATTTCAAAATAATTGACGACGAATACGGGTGTAGCTTTTCGGATTCCCGAGTCCTGGCCTCGAAGGAACGCTGTATAATATTACCGCGTATTCTACTTTGATCTGCCCATGGTATCATTGACTTTGCGCTACCGTCATCGATGTAATCTATCGACGATACGTGTAGAATTTGCTGATGGACGGACTTAGGCGGCAGTGCGAGAAGTCGTGGGAAGCATGATGCCCAACAGCGTCAGTCACGTCGTCAGCGGCGACCGCCAGGTCGGACCTCGTCCTCCTGCAGCCACGTCGGAATCCGACGTGGACATCTCTACGTCACTTCGACAATGGGAGACATGTTGACAAGATAAGAGAGTTAGGGTAATTAAGCATCCTTTTCCTTTTTGTACTTTCTGTTTTTTGCCCTTTTGCAATATTCTGAACGGAAGCTTGTGGCGTTGATCTTTTTCTTTTAAATTAGTTTTGTTTTTAAATTTGGATGTGTAGTACTATTTCCTCATGTTACACTTGGTTGATGGCATGTGTGACACCACCTTTTTCCTGACTGTTTAATTTATTTTTGCTTCTTAGATTGATTTGTCTTTTGTGGAATTGAACATGATTCAAACCATGTGTATTTGATTAGTTTGGCTTTGATTATTATTGTTTTATTCTTATTATTTCTTCTCTATTTTTTTTTTTCTCGTATCCAGATATAATGCGCCTCATGAACTGTATTCACAAGCTACTACTATGCATGTGAATTCATTATCATTTTATTTGATACTCCAGTGGAATTCCATTTTTTTTTCCCCCTTAAATAATTCCACTGGAGTATCAAATAAAATGATAAATGATGCGTTTTTCATGGTTTCTCAATATAATAAATAATATTAGATAAACTACATTTCTTTTCAACGAGTAATAGAAATGTTTACATTGACAATAAGGATAATGCCAGTACATATTATAAAATAACATTATTACATGTTTTTATTTTTATTTTTTATTGATGTTTATTAAAAATCTATTTAATCATCAAGATTCCTGATGACTGTAATAAGATAATAATTTACAGAGTTAAATAAACTTGGTATCTGCTATAAAAATTGCTATGATCTATGAGATATTTTTATCTATGAACAGTAGATATTTTTCAAGGAGTTCTAGCATCATTCATCACCAATATCTATCATATCAATTTGAGATCCTAAATTTACAAGTATCCTGCATATATATTCCTTGAACAAAGCAGCAAGTAAGTCGTCTTTTAACAAAATATTCTAACATCAAATAGTAAGAAAACGAAGCATGTGAATGGAGTTTGGAACTTATTTTTAAAGCTTTTGTGAATGTATTGACAAGATTAGATAGATAAAACTAATAATTTTTGGCAATAATATTGCATATAATTGGCATGAGAAGGTTATTATTGAAGATGGCTTACAGAATGGAGCCACTTCAATTTGTGGTCCTAGCACTCATAAAAATAAAATAACATTTGAATATTAAATAAAAATAATAAATGAAAAACATGTATAGAAAAATATAAAAGAAAACATCTATAGAAAAATACCAAAAAAAAAAAAAAAAAAAAAAAAATAGGACTTAAAATTTTAGAACTAAAAAAAAATTTAGAAATTAAGGTTTTTTTTTTTTTTTTTTTTTTTTTTTTCTTTCTCCTAAATTAATGTTTGAAATTGGATAGAGAAATACCAATTTTTAAAGAATGTTAAAAACTTTACATGGCTCTTATTCAAACCTCTAATTTTATGGATATTTTTTTGGATTTTATTATTTTAAAAAGACATTCAAATTTATTCAAGTTTTTTAAATTTTAAAAAAAGAATTTTTATGTTATAATATATTGCAAGCTCTATCATAATTTATTTTGGTAGTTAATTTGTTTATTTGATAAGATTAAATATATTAAAAGTTTTTTTTATTTAATTTTTTTTATTTATGTATGTATGTATATCTATATATATATATATATATATTAGTAGAAATCCATGCCATTGGCTACAAAAAAATTTTAAAAGTTTAATTTGTTGTTGTTAAGTCAAAAATTGACCATTGCTAAAAAATTGTTAACCAAAAAAAAAGGAAAAAAGAAAAAGAAAAAAGAAAAAATATATATATTCATAATAATTAAATTATTTATATTTTACTATAATTAGTAAATATAATTTCTATTTATTAAAAAAAATAAATAGCTTAGTTAATAAAATTTTGAAATAAACAACATCAATGATGGTATTTTTTTCTTTATTATTATTTTTAAGATATATAATCTTAATCGTATTTAGAGAAATGTATCATAAAAAGACAACATGTAATTCTCCATGTCCAAATACAAGGGTTCTAATATCTATTCCTCTGTTCTTCAATAATTGCTCATGAGATTTATTAATAGTTATTCCAAATTCCACTTTTATCAAAAACGGCATTTGTTGTAATTTAAATAGAATATTTGCATATAATCGACATTATATGATCTTTGGAAGAGAAGCTAATTATTCCTTGTAATTTTCAAATAAAAATCTTACTTCTATAACTTAATCAATCACCTGCATAATAACAAAACATGATTCATTACAAAGTTCTTAATGGCAAGCAATGTTTTATAATAACATAATATGACATCCAACAATTTACTTAGAACAACTTGAGTTCTCTGAATACAACTTGTATAATTTTTATTACTTATAAATGTTGAATTTTTGCACTTCTTAAGTTTGGAATCAATAAAACATTATAATATATGGTACTATAGAAATTATTTTTTATTTTCTATTATAGTGAAAAATATGATTGGTCGTAAATTTTTTTATTTATCATTAATCTAATAGATTATTTTTGACTCCCTAAATTTATAATATCCATAGAAATTTAAAGCAGAATATAGTGTTTGAAGGCATCGAAAAAAAGATAGCAATGTTTTAAAAGAGTTATTTTGAAATATATATTTTAGCTGCTCATCTTTATAAGACACCAATTTTTTTCATTTAAAAGAATAATTATTATTTAAATAGGTAACAATTGCCAAAGTAATAAACACTGTTTGAATAAGTTACAAAAAACATAAATAAAGTCTAGAAGTGTTTGAAGGAAGGAATGGCTTTGGTTGCATCTTTGCACTCTAGTTCATTGTCTAAATTTCAATAAGATAAAATCAATCATTTTATCCATCTATAGAAATGATTTTTTTAAAAAATAGGTTTATATTATCTTATTTATTAATAAATTATTTTACTTGCTTTTAAATTCAAATGTTGAAAAAAATTAGCTCTTTTCAATTTGACAAGGTTTGTTGTAGTTTGATGTAAGATCTTTCAAAATGTTGACTTGAGCATGTGTGTTTATAGTAGAGCTTCAAAGAACCTCTTGGAATTACATTGTTATCAAAACTTAATTAAAAATTGAACCATTTAAGAATAATCAAACTAATCTAGCTAACTTGGCTACTACAAATTATATTCAATATTTATAAAAAGATTTCAATATATAATAAAGAACCACTAATAATATAATTTATAAAATATTAAATTAGCAAGATATAAAATAGGATATCAAAAAAAAAAGCTATCTTTACAAGAACTAATTTCTAAATAATATATTTGTAATTTTTAAATCAACTCTTTATCAACCACTTATATGAATTCTATTTCACTCTTTCAACTAAAAAAAATCTTATCAAATAAAAGACTTTTACTATCTAGTAAAGTATTAAATGGTACAAGGTTGATAAAGTAAATATTCTTCTAAATAGAAAACTTTGTAAAAATTGAAATATAAAATTTAAATCAATCACATCTAATTTTTAATCAATGGCTTGTAATCTTGCTTAATCTAATGTTTTGTTAGTTCTTTCTACTTTTGTGGCTTTCTCTTCTCTTCTCTTTTATAATTTCAATTATTCCATAATCACTTATAGAAGCATTTTTTTACTATAAATAGATAATATAGTACTCATTCCTTTATGTATGTACATTATTAGTCCTATGTCTCTTTTACTCCATCTTATTATTATTAGAGTAGCATATATTGATTCTATATTGTCCAATTCTTATGCCACAATCGAATCAATATATTAATGGCTTAATGTGAAGGATATGAATCTCAAAGAAAGAAAATCTTCAATACACTCTTGTGTCATTGAAGAGAACTAGAATGTCATTCAAAAGATGATGTAATATTAATTAGAATGGCTATTGCCAAAAACAAGAAGACTAAAAAGTCTTAAAATAAGACTAAAGACTAGAAAGGCGTTGACAAGAGTGAAGAAGGTTTCACTCTTGCGTCCATATATATTCTTAACTAGGAGCTATGTGGTGATGTCTTATAGAACCTCCAAAATGTGTTGACTTTGCTAGCCACATGTCTTAACTTGCAAGGCAAGTTATCGATGTATATGCCACATAGTTAGCTTATTCCATAAGCTATTATAGGGAGTTAACTTGTCCGACAAGCTATCAATATGTTGTCATGTTGTAACAAGATTATATGATAAAAGATGATAATATGGATCTTATTATAGAAGAGCCAAGTTAAAAGATAAAATAGAAAAATATAGATAAAAGATAAGAATGTAGTAAAACTTTTAATAGTAGTATTGCCTTTTTAAAAATATGACTTCTATTTACTTTATAGGGCCATAAATAAGACAAATTAAGGTAGATTGGAAAAGTAAATAATATAGGTATCTTTAGGAGGAAGTTAAAAGTAAATTCTAGTAAAAATTACCTTAAAAAACTAAATGTTGGTACCCGAGGAGGGCGAGTTATCAACCTGGGTTGAAATCAGACCTTGAGGCACAAAACTGAGCACTTATGGCAACTCAGGGATTCTTTTGCAAATCAAAGAATGGGGTTTGATAGCAATATGGATAAGATTTCAATGAACATTGGATTTGGGTAATTTGAATTTGTAATGACTTTGTAAGAGATTTACAAAGTCAAGTTTGTTTTCAGATGACTTGGATTTTATGAAATGAAATAGAGTTGAGGTTTCTAGTGATTTCAAGAGTTTTGTAATAGATCTATAGGTAAAATTTTGTAAGTTAATGGTCATAGTTGTGCTTAGTATGTGTTATGAATCTTAGCTTGATCTAATAGTTGAATTGGAGATTATTGAGGTTTAAATCTATCAAGATCTCAGAAAGTAGAATTTTAGATTTAGTGAGGATTTTTAAGATTTCTTGCAATCTATTATTTGGATTGGAGTGAAATTTATGTGAAAAGATATTAGACTTATTTTTCTATTTGTATGGAAATTTTGAGATTAATTAAATGGTGAAAAAGAGAGATATTGGCTCTAGGAGATTGACATCAAGGTCAGAGAAGGAGGCCCGCCAATATCTGAGCATGTTTTTGAGGCTATCGTCTATTTAGTAATTTCGATCATTTTCAAAAAACTTTTTTACTTGTTTTCAAATTAATTATTAAAAAGCATGAAAATTTTGACATAAGATGAATGGTTCATTCATTAATAATTGAGATATAAATCTGTTGTAAGAATTATTAGGATTTAATTTAGGATTTGGTTAGGGTTTAGGATTTGATTAGGGTTTGATTTAGGATTAGAATTTGGT